ACAACCCATTCCCCACACCAGTGAAGGGGAAACAGGAACCAAGGGTCATTCCCTGTGGCCAAAACCAAGGGGAACCTAAGGATTAAAGGCTGGGAACTGCCAGCAGGACTTTGTCACTCTACTGGCTGCATACTCTTCCCCTTCCTCGCTGTATGTCCATATCAAAGGGAATGGGAACTAAAGAATGACATATAAACTGAATTCCGGGTCCCTCTCACTCTCTGCCTCTGAGGACCACACTGTGGAGCGTTATCCCTTTCCTAAACTCTCCTTTAGACTCCAACTTTGGCGAGTGTGTTGAATTCTTTCTACACTCTCCACCAAAGGCTCCTCTTCTAGTATCCCATGGAAATTCGCCCTGTCTTATGTCAGTAGCATTCCACTCGCAGGGTGCTAACGGGGGAGGGGAAGGAGGAGGATGAAGAGCCCACTGACACAGCTAAGGGCTGGCTGGGCGTCCACTCCCTCAGTTCTTCCTCCAAACCCCACTCAGCGCAAAGTGGGCAGAGGGTCCAACGGGACCCTCCCTCCAAGCAGCTCCGGGCTCCCTCTGCTTCCCGCTTCTGAGACGCGTGCAACAACTGGCTCTCTCCCCACCTGCGACTAGTGGCAGAGACAGGATGATGGAGTCGCCAGGGCGCATGGGGGGCCAGCACCAATCCTCCCCTCCCGAATCCGCAGAATTAAGGAGAGAGACTCTCCCACCCCAGGCCGGGGGAGACCCTCCACCCCCACCCGCTACCGCCTCTAGGACTGGGAAGACTCAGCCAAACCCGACCCGGGCTGCGGGGACACCAGCTGCCCAGTCTGCAGAGAGGTGGCTGAGCTCTGGGGACCCCGCCTCAATCCCGGAAGCCGGAGACGCAAGGGAGGGAGGAGCCACTGCTGCACCCGAATGGGATCTTTGCGAGTCCAGGGCCGAGCAGAACCGAACAAGGCCGAGCTTGACCGAGCAGACCCGAGTTCGGCCGAGTGTTGCCTAGTCTGGCCGAGCCCAGCGTGTCCGGCCGAACATAGCCGAGTTTGACCAAGTAGCGCCGAATAGAGCCGAGTATGGCCGAGCGGAGCAGCGCGGGGGACGGAACGTGGCGAGGGCGAGGTTCCGGGCGCCCCCTGCCGGCCACAGAGCATCAGCGCTGGCCTCCTGGTCCTGCGACAGTCCTGTGAAACGCGGGGATGGGGGTTACGGGGTTGGTATGGAGCTCGTTTTATGGATGAGGTAACTGAGGCTGCAAGAGGTTCTGAGGCTGGCCCAAAGGCACACAGAGCTAAGTGGTGGCGCTGTGGTTCGAACCCGATTGCGTGGCCAAGAGCTCACCTGCCACTGCGATTGGCACTGTGTGTTTGCTTTGTCTTCATAATTCCTGCCATTTATTATGGCCAAAAGGAGAGATCCACCCTGTCTGACGATCAGAAAGGAGGCCAGAGCTGAGAGACAACCCCTCCCCTTACAGGTGGACAAACCAAACAGGCTCTGGGCATGTTGACCAAGTGCCGCAGGGCCAGCAGTTCCCATGTGCAAATATTGACATGTTTCCTGGTCATTGAAGCGGACAGCAGGAGGGAGAGGCCACGTCCCACTGAAGGCCTCATTTTCCCCACCTTTAACAAGACAACTTGAAGCGGACAGCAGGAGGGAGAGGCCACGTCCCTCATTTTCCCCACCTTTAACAAGACAGCCTTAGAGGATTGGGACTCCTAGCTGCCTACAGGCTGTGTCCCCATGTGCCTGAGCCAGAACCGGAGGTGTCTGAGACCTTGGAAGATTCCAAATGTGGCCCAGGCACTTTCTTTGAGGCTGTAAAAAAGTGAAGGCTTGCCTTGCCCTCCATGCACACACGTGTGCATGAGTGTGTACCCGTCGTTCCCCCCTGTGCACACACTGCTCTGGGCTGCCAAGGCTGCAGGGCTCACTGGAGGGTAGCGGGGCCTCTAGGAGGCGACCGAGGTCCCCATGGGGTCTGGGCTTCTCCTCATGCCTGCTGAGTTTTGCCTGAGGCATTGTCTGCCACTGCCCAGTGGCCACTAAGGACCTGACACACCAGTGGCCTCAGAGCTCTCTCAACCCCCAGTATCACTTCTGACACCTGATCCCCATTTTTGTAGTTTTTAAAAACTATAGACGCTGGACTGGGGGCTAGGAAAGCAAGGTTTTTGGTCCTGTCTCGTGCTGTGACCCTGCGAGTCTCATGACTATCCCAGGCCTCACCGTCTTCAGCTATAAAATGGATATCAGAACTGTTCTCAGCAGCTCAGACATCTCCCACGCCTCCTTTTCTGTGCACAAACTCCAGTTCCCTCTTTTCATTCAGCTGGGCTATAACCGTTCCTGGGGAGACTTCCACCCCCACCCATGGATGGGTTCTTGCTTCTGTCAAAGAACTTCTTAGGTTTATTTAACACATGGCACTTGCCATTCACTAAGCACTTTTCTCAACTGTTTATAAATACTTAACTCATTTAGACCTCCTAACAATAGAGACATCTGCTTTTATTCCCAGGAAAAGTGAAGCACAGAAAGGTTAATTAACTGTCTCGAGGTCAACCAGGTAGTGAATGAAGGAGCCGGGATTCAAACTCAGGCAGTTCCAGAATCCGGGGGCTTAAGAACTGCCTCTTTATCGCCCGCCTCACTTCCTGAACGACAGGCCGCGTACTTACTATACACCTTCAGTTCATTGCAGATGGCAGCTGCCCAATAAACACTTGTCGAATGAAAGAATGGGGAGTTATTCTATAGATCCTCTGGAGATTCAAGGGTGGAGGGACTGTCATCTCCATTTTGCAGGTGGGGACTTGTATTTGTTTGCTAGTTTGCTAGGGCTGCTGCAACAAAACACCACAGACCAGGTGACTTAAACAACAGAAATTTATTTCCTAGCAGTTCTGGAGGCTGGAAGTCCAAGATCAAGGTGTCAGGTAGGGTCGCTTCTTTCTGAGGGCTGTGAGAGAAAGATCTGTTCCAGGCTTCTCT